CTAGCAGATGGTGGGGCATGCCAACCCTTAGGGCTGACATGGTTGGCTTTTGGCTTCATGGGACAACGTTTTTATCACCGGTTTGCCATTGTTCCACGTTTACCCTCAACCTTGGTCTTGGGGATGGACTTCATGTTGCGTGCATCAATCACCATACACATCCCATCCAGAATTGTTGTCATAGGCAACGATCCTTTATTAATAGAAGAGATGGAAGGCAAGGAAGTGCAGGAGTTGGAAAGCAGTTTGTTATTTATGGAAGTCCCATCATCCGCACTTCGAGAAAAGATTGAGGAAGCATGTCTGAGTAATGTTGAGAAGGAACAGCTGTCAGGGCTAATTGAAGGTTTTTCTGACCTCTTCGACGGTCACCTGGGTCGCACATCACTAACTGAGCACTCCATAGACACGGGGAATGCCAAGCCAATCCACCTTCCCCCTTATCGAACCTCCCCAGCTAAAATGCGTTTGATTGAGGATCAAATAGGAAAAATGTTGAACAACGGCATCACTGAATCTGCAACAGGCCCTTGGGCCGCCCCGGTTGTGATTGTTCAGAAACTTTGTGGTGAACCACGATTTTGTGTGGACTATTGTGGGTCGAATCAACTTACCGTGAAAAACTCTTACCCATTACCAAGAATCGGTGAGTCCCTTGACTTCCTTTCCACAGGGAAATTTTTGACTACAATCGACCTTGCTCGGGGATACTGGCAGGTCTCCATGGCGAAAGAACCAAAAGACTGCTTTTGTTTCACATTGTGGGCTATTTCAGTTCCGTGTGCTTCCATTTGGTCTGTGCAATGCACCAGCGACCTTTCAAAGATTAATGAATAGTGTCCTGGCTGGTCTCATTTATAGGTGCTGTGCAGTCTACTTGGACGACATTGTTGTGACTTCACCCACTTTCAAGCAACATCTCGATGACCTCAGGGAAGTCCTTTCACAGCTCAAGTTTGCTGGGTTGACCAGTAAACTGGTCAAATGCCAGTTTTGTCGTAGAGAGCTCGCCTTCTTGGGGTACCGTGTCTGTCCACGTGGCGTGCTGCCGGACCAGGACAAAGTGAAGGCTGTTATGGACTTTAAAACTCCTGTCAATGTGAAGCAAGTGAGGCAGTTTTTGGGCCTATCAGGCTATTACCGTCGGTTCATACAGGACTAAGCCCGCCACGCTGAACCACTGTTTGAGCTTGAGGGTCTCCATGTCACAATCTTCACTGACCACAGTGGGCTCAAGTGGTTGATGTCCCGTCCCAACCCCACTGGCCGCCTTGCTCGTTGGGCTCTCCGCCTTCAGGACTTCGATTTCAATATTGTCCACAAGCCTGGACCTTGAAACAAAGTGCCTGATGCGCTGTCGAGGAAATCCTCTAACAGATGATGTGCCACCAATGGACCTCCTTCCTGACTACGCTGTGATTGGTGGTCTGGATCTCTGTACGCTATCTTCAGTAATTCTTACGGATCGATCTCATGTCACGCAATTACAACTTGAAGATCCAATCTCAGGTGATCTCCTCCGTAAAATGGAGGCAAAGCTCCAACAGGGTAGCGACGGGGATGATTGCTCTCAATATTCCATTCACGATGGCTTGTTGTACTTTAACGATCCCAAACCTGCTTGTGGCATCCACCCTTTGAAATGTTTAAAGCTGTATGCTCCTGTGTCTCTCAAAGGTACCTTGTTGAGGTATTACCATGATCACCCAACTGCAGGTCACCTAGGAATAACCAAGACCTTGGCCCGACTGAAACTCAGGTTTTTCTGGCCTAAGATGGCATCTGAGGTGAAAATATATGTAACCTCTTGCACGGTTTGCCAACTAACAAAACCAAGTCAGAGAAAACCTGCCGGTCTAATGGTCCCAATTCGGCCCCAAAAACCTTGGGAGTACGTTGGGGTGGATTTCGTTGGCCCATTGCCACATACTCCCAGTGGCAATGCTTACATCTTGGTTTTTGTCGATTATTTTTCAAAGTGGGTTGAGATTGTGGCAGTGAGAGAAGCTACTGCTCAAGTGGCAGCAAACAAACTGCTAAGTGAAGTGTTTTCCCATCACGGGGCCCCCACTTATCTAATTTCAGACAGAGGTTCCCCTTTCGTGAGCGACCTATTCGAATGGGTGCTCACTCTCCCGGGAACAGAACATCGCCTCACAATGGCATATCACCCAAAGACGAATGCCACAGAGAGGGTGAACCAAACTCTCAAGACAGCAGTTCGAGAATACGTGGATGATAAACATACAACCTGGGTCCGATATATCCCACAAATTTGCTTTGCACTACGAACAGCACCTCATGAGAGTACGGGGTCAACCCCCATCTATGATGTTGTATGGGAGGGAGTTGAACACTTCATTGGATTTGGTGACTCAGCCTGTCTGGGATGGAATGGAGGAACCTGAAATCCCTTATCCCGAGAGCTTAAGATTGACACTGCAAGAGGCACATGACCATGCAAGGGCAGCCCTGGAAACCGGTCACAACAAACGGAAGCAGCACTATGACAAAAGACATCGTTCTGTTTTTTTATGCCAGTGGTGACCTCGTCAGAGTGAAAACCCACCCTAAATCAGATGCTCTGGCCAATTTTACAGCAAAACTAGCACCACTGTACTCTGGTCCATACCGTGTCACTCAAGTTTTGTCTGATGTGAACTACAGACTTGCAAAGTTGGACACAGGACAGGATGCTGGTGTCTATCATGTGGTGAATATGCAGCCTTTCCACACTTGGAACGCATGCAGCAGCCATACACCAAGTGGACCTCAGGATGAGTCTGAAACGACCGATGAGGGGTTGGAGGACAGTCTGCTGGTGACACAGAGGAGTGAGGACCAACCTCAAGATGCATGCTTTTCTTTGCCTAATGAGGCTGATGTTAATTGTGACGATTTCACTGACAATGCACGTGACGTGACCAAGAAATGACATGAGTAGTTGTACTCATAATGCTGACACTGACATTAGTACATCTTCATGACATACACATCTTCCTGACTTTGACGTTGATCTTGAAGGTCATCGTTACAATCTCAGACCTAGACTGGCACCTAGAATCACCTCAGGGTGGTCAGACAAAAAAATGGACTAACGAGTATCATACTGACAGATTGGATCTGAAGTAGTCATTTGTTTGCTTGTTCGAATTTCTTGTGTTTAAATGTTAATAATAAGCTGTTCTTTCCTTGTATAGCAATGGAAATCTAGAAAGCATTGTTCTAATTCTTGTTTTCATGTGTTCGGGAAAAAAAAAAGAAAATTGTTTTGCACTTATGGGTTGGTTATACAAGCTTTTGTTTGTATGTGATATGTCTTTGAAAAGCATACTGTATAATGTGTAGCTTGTACTGACATGTATGCCAATTATTGCCTTCTGTATGTGAAACATGTTATGAGTTGATGGATTTCCAAGTTTCCATGTATGGAGCTAAATTTAAACATTGTCCTCATGTTGTGTACGGCTGGGGACAGCCTTTTTCTTTCCGGTGGGGAATCTGTAACGGCCAAAATTGTGTATTTGCTTGCATCACATTATAATTTGGTGTGCCCTTTAAGAGACTGATCACTTAACTTATAACGCACGCTATGTGGTGATGACATAGAAGGATTACGTGCCTGTGTAATGAGAACCACTATGGATGATAAGTTCGCTCTGCCTTCTTGTTATTATTTTGTCTTGACTTTTATTTGTAACACCAAGAAAGAGTTAATCTCTCATGTATGAGAGGAGCGCCTTGCCCTGTACCAGCCAATTAAATGTGTGGGACACCAACTCTTCGTTTTCCATCTCTTTCATTTCATGGATTTAACGAGTTATCCGAGTCAAAGCGTTACAATTGTGAAAGAGTGATGGGTGGAAAAAGTCAATTTCAATGCTTTTGTGTTCTCTCACAAAAGTATTGCGTTCCTCTGAGAACCTTAATGGAAATAATATGGGATGAACATTTGTGTGCAAAGTTTCTCACAATAACACAATATTTTTGTGTGTGATTTCAAAGGTGTATGTACATGTGTAGTCACATTTGTATATGTATGTGTAAATGAATCAATTTATATTTATATGTGTAAGTGTAAGGCTTGTGTAGGTCACACTTTAGTTTTGAGACCAATTCTCACTATTAACTAACTATTATCTATGAGTTTTGCCTTAGTAAACTCCTAATTTTACCCTCTTGTGTATAAGTGTGAATGTATGTTTATGTATATAAGTGTAAGTGTGTATTTGTAGATTTATGTGTGTAAGGTATGTATAGATGTATATTTATAGTCATGTGAAAAAGAAAGGACACCCAATTGAAATCCATGTTTTCCATATCAGTACATAGTAATAATACAAATAAATAATCTGGTCAATGGCAGGTCTTAAAATTTGGAAAATAAAACCTCATGGCATATCACACCGTCTCATTATTTATTTAGCAGCTAATTGTTAACTATTAAGTGTGAGAAGCACTATAATTTGGTATCGGAGTAAAATGGTTGAATAGCTTCTCAATCAATCAATCAATAAAGCAAGCTTTGGAATTCATATGTAGATCCATGGTACACTCACAGAGTTTGGCATAATTAGTTTGCAATGAAATCACCAAAAGGCTTATTGATCGTTAATTATTATCGTAATTTGTATGTGTCCTAATGATACTGAATACATATTTGTCACTTGCCAGACATGACTGAACATATTGCTGTCCACTGAATTGCCATTGGTGCCTGATGACTGCAGTATGCGGCTATATTTAATTTTTGGATGTACTGCATGTGTGTATTGATGGATGGATTTATTTATATATGTGTGTTGTTGACCGGGTACTGTTATTAACAGTATTTACAAATTAATTTCAAATAAAATTGAGGTTTGGAGCTTTTTGTGCTCAGAGGACTTAGTTTTCAGTGATGAGGGCAGTAACTGATGCTCTGCTGCCCTCTTGTGTTTACTTAAATTTACTTTAGTGTTAGTATTACAGAATTATATTAAGTTGCTGTTTGTATGGACTCAAGGTAAATGCAGCTTTAAATGTAGCGCGGTCACTGATAGGCTGCTGCAGCTGCTGGCAGTCTGATTGACAGGCGATCTGACCAATCGTCACGCGTTGTTATGTGCCTCCGTTGCTGTCCGCCATTTAATCCGACAAACAAAACAGTCCGACAACAAGCATGTCAGGCGTAGTGAACTAACTAACTTGGAAAATGGTGAAAAGGTGCACGTATGTGGCTTGCAACGCAGACAGCAGGTACCCAGAAAGGCTGGGCGACATACAGTTTCACCCGTTCCCTAAACCTGCCAGAAATCTGCAGAAGTGTATGAAGTGGATAAGTTTGTGTGGCCGGCCTCAGCAGCAGCTCTGTGACAGGCTGAGAAACCATTCCACAGCCAAACACATCTATGTGTGCTCAAAGGTAACACAGTTATACATACTGCACCTTTTTAACTCTGTAGCACAAGCCTTGATTTATGTACGTTTTACAAGTTGCTATAACCAGAGAAATGTATCCAACCCTCTACGGACACCTTAGCAATTTAATCACCATTGGCTAGTACATTTTTTAGTTTACTCGCCAGACTGATATACTATATATATATATATATACACACACATACATACTGTATATGTATGTTTTTTAAAATGGCACAGCTTTTTAAATATCTGAAAGTACTCTCTTAACATCAGTCAGTCAAGCATTATAATATGATATCAGAATAATCAAGTATTATTTAATGATAGAACTTTAGTAATTAGAATTAAAACTTGGTAACCATGAATGAATGCATAGACATTTTAACTGAATTTAGGACTGGTGGTGGTGCTTTGTTGGTCATTCAGGGTTTCTGTAAAAAAAAAAAAAAGAAAAAGTAAAACAACTAACAATAATACTGATAAGATGATGATAATAATAATAATACGAATTCTACTAATAAGAACAGTATAACACGCACTAAGGATTAACGAGCTGCTGGATTCATTCTGGATAATCAAAACAGGGATGATAATAGGTGAGCACCAGCCAATGAGATTGCCGTTTGAGCATTAGTTCCGCCCACTACAGGAAAACCCGGCAGTTTTTAAAGGGGTCATATGATGCTTTTTTTTAAGATCATTATTTTGTGTATTTGGTGTAACAGAATATGTTGACATGCTTTAATGTTCAAAAAACACATTATTTTTTAAATACTGTACATTATTGTAGGTCCTCTATGCCCCGCCTCTCTCAAACGCTTAGTTTTCTACAAAGTCCCTCCTTCCGACAAGCACAATCTGCTCTGATTGGCCAGCTGACCCAGTGCATTGTGATTGGCTGAACACC